GTACAGCCAAAACGCGGGCATGACCACTCTCATCTTTCTCTCTGATGGAAAATACACATCCCAGTGAACACATTTCATAACGGCAATATAACATGGAAGTTACATGTAATATCACAATGTTATTCTTGTGATATATAAGGGCTACATAACATGGAAGAAACATTCAATTTAACATTTGTTATATGCAGGTAATATAACTGTTATACATTTTTTTTTGGCGTTACAGTTATGTAACAAAAATTGTGTAATTGTTACGTAACACGCTTGGATCAATGTTAGTATAACTAGTAATATTCTGGTAATATTAATGGGGTGTAACGGAATAACATATACAAGGCTGTTGATTTGCTTACTGCTCACGTTTTTCTATGTGCCCGGGCTTTTAAACCCTGCATCGTTTTATTTTGCTAGAGCTAATAATGATCTGCGCTTTTCATCATAAATTTTCAATTGTTTATAAATATATATATTTTGTTTGAAAGGTTTAATATTGTGCAGAGGCCCTTTATTTGCCTTAAGGCAAAAATTATAATTTACAAAATACATAATTTATAATTAATAATTATTAATAATTTACAAGATATTTATCATTTATATGATCAATTTATATAATCGTCCATCCATATCGGTAAATAACGTAATTAATCATCATGATGCATATTACCATTACATGTACCAATTTAGTAGAATGCATTTACGTACTGCTTCTATGTACATATAATAGATATAATGTCAATATTAAAAATTTGTGCAGCTATATACTCTTTTTAAACTTAATTTGTTTCTTAAGATGATTTTTGAAAAATTATATATTTGCGCTGGTTGTGACATATGTAGACTATATATAACACTTACATCAAATTAAGAAGTAGCCTACCACGTAAGGCAGTTGGCTCACGATCCAGAGGTCCCGAGTTCGAATCCCACCAAGGTAAGTGTGTTTTTTAAATACGAGAAAATATTTATAAATATGATTATATATAATCATAGACTGCATCTTAAGAAACAAATTTAGTTATAAAATGGTAATAAAATCTCAAAAAAAAAATACATTTTTTACGCTCATTATTACAGCTAGTACAACAGTTGGTGTAACTGTTACGTAATAGTTAAATAACATGTTATGTAACATGTTATATTGCTGAGTCGGAAATTGTAACTTACATGTAAGTTACATGTAACACTCTGGTTGATATAACCTGTTATATTCGGTTACATTGCCGTTGCATTGCTACTATATTACTGTGTTCACTGGGATAATAGTATTTTATCAGTTAATTTTCCGTAGCTTATTAAATTTGCATTCATATCTTTTGCATAAAATACGTTTTTTATATTTACTTGATTTACTTTTCCAAACGCTTTAAAGTACGTTACTACATTTCCTATCTTGGTAGCTTTTACTGATCTATTATCACCTAAATAAATATTTACTGGTTCTTTTAATTCTATACATTTTTCAAAATAATTTTCATTGTTTACAATGTGATCGGAACACTCGCTATCAAGTAGCCACTCTATTTCGCAATTACGTAACCTGTTTGTTTCGTCGGTGTGTGCTGCATGCGCCGTTGTCGCTACCCAAGCGCTCGCGTCCTTGCTGCTCTGCTCGCTCGTACTTGCTTCAGGTTGACTACGTTTTTGGTTATTTCGAGGGTATTAGGAATAAGACGCGTTCGTGTTTCTAATATAACTAATACTAAATATATATTTGGATAATACAGGATACAGTAAAGTATGATGTCACGGATCTGACGAAGCGAGCTTGCTACTGCAAGGGATCCCGGGAACTTTTTATGAACGCTTTCCATGCTGCGTTCTGATAGGCTGTTCTCTGCCGGTCGCTGATTGGTCATGTTTATGCGACTGTAGCCACATACTCCCCCTCGAGAGTGATGGCCTTGGTCAGCGCGCGAAAGTGATGGTTCTCTTGCTTCGAGGGCCTGGATAGGTTTTGAGGGTTGATTCCGGTATATGTTGTTCTTCTGTTGGATTCATTGGATTTGGGTTGTCTTCGGGTATGTTTTCCAAGAATGCTGGCTTTAGTCTGTCGGTGGATATGTCTGCGGGTTGTCCCTTGAACATTATCCTGAAAACAGAATCTGAATTTCTGTTAAGTATCTTGAATGGACCTTTGTATGGCTGGTTGAATGGTTTTCTGGTGCTGTCGACGCGTACGAATACATGTGTGCTTGAATGTAACATCTTGTGTATAAATGGTTTTATTCTACAGTGATGTGCTGTGGGCTTCGATTTGACGTCTTGCATATATTGTCTCAGCCTGTCGAGGAAGATTTGTGGTTGAGTTGGAGTTTCTTCCTCGTTGAAGTATTCTCCGGGGAGTCTAAGGGTCGCTCCGAAGGTCATTTCTGCCGCTGATGCTTGGATATCTTCTTTAACACTGGCACGTAATCCGAGGAGGACCACTGGTAATACTTCGCACCAGTCCTTAGTGTTATGGCATTTGATCGCTGTTTTGAGTGATCTGTGCCACCTTTCTATGATGCCGTTGGATTCGGGGTGATATGCAGTCGTGCGTATTCTTCTGCTGCCGATTATCTTGACTAATGATTCGAAGAGTTGAGATTCGAATTGGCTGCCTCTGTCCGTCGTAATTACTGTTGGTGCTCCATATCTAGCAATCCATGTGCTGAAGAATGCGTGTACAACTGTATCTGCTGATGTGTCAGTAATAGGTGTTGCTTCCGGCCATCTAGTGAATCGATCAATCATTGTTAAACAATATTTGTTGCCTTTGGAAGGTGGGAGTGGTCCGACGATGTCGATGTGTATATGTTGGAATCGTGTGTCCGGTACCTCGATGTGTTCGGGAATCCTTCGGTTGTGTCGATGTATTTTTGCTTTTTGGCATGGCATGCACGACCGCGCCCAATGAGTGATATCTTTGTTCATACCTGGCCATACGAATTTGCGACTGATCATTTTCCGCGTTGTAGTACGTCCTCCGGGATGTGAGAGATTATGTACTGTGTCGTAGATTCGTTTGCGAAGAACTGCTGGTACGTAGATGCGTATATCTTCACCTGTGATGTCGCAATATACAGTCGTTTCTGTATTATCAAGTCGAAGTTTCTTAAGTTGAATGGCAGACGGTGTTTTTAGAAGATTTTCAAGTTCAGCGTCGGTCTTCTGAGCTTCGGCTAGTTCCTCAGTCGTTGTTATTATAGGCATGTCTATCGCTTCTATTCTTGAAAGGGTATCAGCTATGGTGTTGTCGTGGCCTGCGATATGTTGAATTCGTGTGGTAAATTGGCCAATGTAGTCGAGCTGCCGAAATTGTCTCGGCGATGCTTTTGCGGATTTCTGAAAAAAAGCGTACGTTAGCGGTTTATGGTTTGTACGTATTGTGACTGCTCGTCCCTCTATCATGTGTCGGAAAAATTTTATGGCCTCGTATATCGCAAGTAGTTCGCGATCATAAGCACTGTATTTAGCTTGCGTTGATGACAACTTCCTTGAAAAGAACCCCAGTGGTTGTCTGTCTTTGTGATTAATTTGCTTGAGTACCGCGCCGATGGCTACATCCGACGCGTCCGTTGTGACCACTAGGTGTGCTCCTTCGAGTGGGTGTGCAAGTAAGGTGGCTTCCGCTAATTGTTTCTTACAGCGTTCGAATGCTGCTTCTGTATCCGAGTTCCATGCTATTGGCCTGTTATCATTTTTCTTAGCGCCAACTAGGTATGCGTGTAACGATGCTTGCGCTTCGGCTGCTTTGGGTATACATCGTCTGTAAAAGTTGATCATACCAAGGAATCTGCGGAGTTCCTTAATAGTGCTGGGTTTCCTGAAGTTTTTTACCGCCTCTACTTTGGTATCTGTGGGTTTAATTCCTCTCTCGCTGATTTCGTATCCGAGGTAGGTTACTTGTGTCGCGCCCAACGTGCACTTGTCAAGGTTAATGGACAGTCCGTATTGTCGAAATCGTTCGAATACTATCCTTAAGTGCCGTTAGTGTTCTTCTGGTGTCTTGGATGCGATTACTACATCGTCCAGATAATTGTGACAAAAATCTAGACCTCTCAACACTGTGTCCATGAATCGCTGGAACGTTTGAGCTGCATTGCTCAGTCCGAATGGCATAACGTTCATCTCGAATAATCCAAATGGTGTGATAATAGCAGTCTTCTCTCGGTCTTCTTCTGCCATTGGTATTTGATAGTATGCGCGTATGAGGTCTAAAACACTAAAAATCTTGCATCCGTTCATTCTGTGTGAAAAATCTTGGATATGTGGGACAGGGTACATATCCGGGTCGGTGATCCTATTTACTCCCCTGTAGTCGCCACATATGCGCCACTCGCCTGTTTTCTTTCGCTGGAGGTGGATTGGGCTTGCGTATTGACTTTTAGAAGGTCTACAAAGCCCTTGAGCTATCCATGATTCGATCTCGGGTTTTGCAAACTTGTAACGACCTGGTGATAGTCTTCGGGCACGCTCCGCCACTGGTGGTCCTTTTGTGGGGATGTAGTGTTTCACGTGGTGCTTTGGTGTTATTCTTTTTATTGGGCGTGTGATGTCAACGAATTCTTTCAGCAATTTAAGGTATGGTGTATCCATTTTGAGCGTAGATACTGTAGGAGTGCCGGACTTAGTTGTTTTGGCACAGGCCGTTAACCCCGTTAGTCCATCTGTCAGACGCTTATTTCTTAGGTCCGGAAGTAGGTTATGTGCGTACAGGAAGTTTGCCCCTAATATAGGTTGTGATACGTCGGCTACTATAAAGGTTTAATCATAATTGCGGCGTAATCCCAGGTCGAGAGTCATGTACTTTGCACCATACGTGGGTATCTCCGACCTGTTGGCAGCATAGACTTTAAAATTGGCTATTCTAGTTGATTTTCTTACCATAGCTCGTGGCAATGCTGAGATATCTGAACCGGTATCGCATAGAAACCGCAATCCGGAGCGTCTGTCCGTAACGATGAGACGTTTTTGAGTATCTACGCCGACTTCCGCCGTCTCCACACGTGTCGGACCTTCTAGTTTTCCTGGTCCTTGGCCTGTTTGATTTGCTTCTTCCACGCACATGGCTCCTCGCAATTTCTAGCGTCCTCACCAAAACGCCTGTGGTAGTAACAGAAGTTATTATTACTGCGTCTGTCACGGCTGCGACGGTTCGAGTAGGACCTCTGGCGTCGTCCCCTACTGTTGGTTCCGCGTTTTGTTCGTCCTCTCCTTACCTCCACGGCTAGCTCTTCGATCATGGCCTTGAGTTCCGTTACCGTAATTTCGGTACGGGTGTGTTCGTCCGGTTGATCCGTTTTGGCACTAAGCGCCATAACCTGGGGCTTGCTTACCTCGACAATTTTGTCAGCTTGTAGTGCTAATTGCGTGATGTCTTCAACCTGACTTATTGCCAAAATGCTGCGAATGTTGTTCGGGAGTTGTTCAAGGAACAGAGTGCGTAGCACATTGTCCGAGACTTGTCCGGCTGCCATGTTTCGTATGCGCTGGAGGAAGACGGATGGCTTCTCGTCACCTATTTCGTGACCGCGTAAGAGCTTGCGTAACTTCGTTTCGTGTGATTCTCCAAATGTCTCTGTCATGCGCCTTTTAATCGTGCCGTACTTGTCGTGTTCCGGTGGGTTGGCTATTATGTCTGAAACATAGGGCAGTGTAGCGGGGTCTAGGTTAACGAGGACGTACCTGTATTTGATCTCGTCTCCGGTGATCTTTGCTAATGCGAAAGCGGCTTCTGCAATTGTGAACCATTGCGCCGGCATTTCCCGCCAAAATGGTTGTGGTAGCTTGACCACGTTAGCCGCGTTGATCATGTTTTCCGATCCTTCGGGGACTCTGCTCATCTTCTTATCGTCAGATTCCTGCGTAGTGGCTGTATCTGAAACAGAATTGGTATTCGCCTCTTTCGGCGGAATCTCCTCTCGTGCGGGGTGTTGGCTTGCAGTAGGTCGTGTTGGCGAGCAGTTGCGCGGCATTACTTGTGCCCGCTACAATCACGTCGGGGTCACCACTTTGGTTATTTCGAGGGTATTAGAAATAAGACGCGTTCGTGTTTCTAATATAACTAATACTAAATATATATTTGGATAATACAGGATACAGTAAAGTATATATGATGTCACGGATCTGACGAAGCGAGCTTGCTACTGCAAGGGATCCCGGGAACTTTTTATGAACGCTTTCCATGCTGCGTTCTGATAGGCTGTTCTCTGCCGGTCGCTGATTGGTCATGTTTATGCGACTGTAGCCACACGTTGTCCTCTGCCGCGTCCTCTGCCATAGCTTTTTGCGGTTCTGCCTCGTCCCCGGCCTCGTGTTGAACCTCGCCACGATCCGTCGTTGCGTCCCGCTTGGCCGCCGTCTTGACACTCTCGTGCGAAATGTCCTTTTCTTCCGCATTTGTAGCATCTATCCTTGTTCGCTGTAAATGCGTTTGCTGTTTTCTCACTATGATCCTTTTGATTCTTCATTTCAGCTAGCTTGATTTTATTTCTTATGTACTCAGCAGTTTGGTCTTCCTCTTTTAGTGTATCGATTAAGTCACCTATATAACTATATGACTCTGGCAACGTGTTGATCATATAGTTTAATTTTTCTTTTTCACTTATATTTGCACCCGCGCTCCTTAGATCATTAACCGTTTTCTCGAACTCACTGAAAAATGTCTCAGTATCGCTGTAATTGTTTAATCTCATTTTTTCCAATCGGTTTCTGCACACGATCTGTAGCGCCGTTGACTCCTTCAAATACATACTGTCTAACCTTTTCATTACTTTGTAGGCTGTTTCTTCCTCGCACACGAATTCTAGCTGCTTGTTCGAAATTGCACTATATATGTAGTTTATTGCCTTTAATTCTTTTTCGTCCCAATCTTCTTTGTCTGTAGCTACTTTTTGTCTTGTTATTACCAGGTCGCATTTCTTGAATTTCAGGTACATGATAATCCTCTTTTTCCACATACCATACTCCTGTCCATCGAATACTGGTATCGTAATCTCACACTTGCCCGCCATTTTCTCTTCTGGTTCAATCTCGAACGTTTCTTCGTGTTCGGATTTTACCAACGCCGTCTTCTTTTGTCTCAAGCGTTCCTTCGTGCTTTCGACTCGTTTTCACTTCCGAACTTAACGCGGTATTTTATATTATAAACAGGGCACGTGAGAATTACGGGACACTTTTGCTGGAACCACGCTCTGCTACCATGTTAAGAAATTGAGGTTTAGCAGAGAGGACTTTATTCTTTGATAACACTAACGAGTTTATTTACGACCTTATATTATATACATGACTGTCCGTCTTGACTTCGTAAGCAACGGTTCAAGCCGGAGTGCTCGACGCGAGAGCCTCGCATATTTCGGTAGCCCTCGCAGTCACGTGATACTCACGTACATACTGTGAGAGGGGAAACTTACAGTGTGTCTCCTAAATGAATACAGGCAAATGTATACTATATTTCAACAGATACAAATCACGGGTTGGCTTTAAACCTACCACTAGAGGAGGGAAATAAACTGGAGGTTCTAGGATTAAACTGGGAGCCGCTCAGCGACTTGTTCCACATCAACATTCAGCTCCCGGCTTCGATGCCACCGACAAAACGCCAGATTCTCTCTATCGTTGCAAGGTCCTTTTTGACCCACTACGCTGGTTAGCCCCAGTGATCATTACTCCGAAGATGCTTATTCAACAGTTGTGGTTTCTTAAGGTAGGATGGGACAAACCAGTTCCTGAACGACTAGTTATCGATTGGCGATTGTTTTGCGAGCAATTGTCCCTTCTAAACCAAATTTCAATTCCCCGCTGGACTTTAAGCGACCGTACAAGTTCGGCGTAAATTCACGGATTTTGTGATGCCTCCGAGCGAGCTTACGCCGCTGTGACTTATTTGCTCGTTCGATCATCCAATTCCAAATCAAACGTGAGCCTAATACTTGCAAAGACTAGGGTAGCCCCACTCAAGACCATAACAATTCCGAGGCTCGAATTGTGCGCAGCCATCCTGCTAACCAGATGCATCTCTGTTTTAATCGAATCGATTTCAGTTCCAATTGAGTCGATCACTTGCTGGAGTGACTCCAGTGTCGTCCTCTGTTGGCTCAAGAAGCCCCCGTCTAGCCTCAAGGTCTTTATTAACGCTCATCGTGTCGCGCTAATTCAAAAACAGTTGCCACAAGCAAGATGGAAGCACGTTCCTTCGGAAGATAATCCAGCGGATTGCGCGTCCCGCGGATTAAAACCTAAGCAACTAAAGAGCCATCCGTTATGGTGGCACGGCCCCCAGTGGCTAACTAGCGATCCGAGCTTTTGGCCAGATCAAACATTTCTAGATTCCACCGCGACCGAAGTCGATACCAAGCTTGTGACTTTTGCCCACCTCCAAACGCAGAGCCAAAGTTCGTCTCGGGTTAAAATGACCCAGAGTGACTTCCTTGTTTGAAAAAATAGGTGTGACTACGGAGGGTTAAAAGAATTATATATGAAATAGGGGTAGAAAATACCGAAGTAAAAATTGTTTTTTGAGTTTTCGATGCCAATGTGTTGCTTATGTTCGAAAATGTCGATTTTAAATTTTTTGAAGATCGGTTTTGAGGATCGGCTATCCATCAAATAACTTAGGGTAGATTGAAGCGAATCGGATTAATATAAGTTTTAAGACAATTTTTGTTAGTGTTTTATTTTAAACGAGCTATTTTATTAATTTTATTGGAAGTGTTTGATTAAAAGAAATTAATGAAATAAGATTAGTTTCGATGAAAGGTATTTAACTTAACTCTTAAGTACTTAATAACTAAGTAAGGCTCTGTAATGTAAAAGAAAGACCTTAAACGGGCAATAAGAGCACAAGCGTGTCGTTAA